CTGGTGCTCAGACCTTCAGACGCTGGCTCAAGACTTCCAGATGCTCATGCAGAACTGTTTGGGAGCAGAGAGATGGGCTGAGCAGGACCCTGTTCGCCCCATTCCTGGGGGCTCTGATGTGGTAGAACTGAAGCAGGATGTGAGGGAGTCCAAAATGCTAAAGCTGAAAGGGACATTTGGCACAAAGCAGTAGTAATAACCAGTCTATATATAGAGGGTTCATGTGTTTCCTTCCTGAAGGACTGTCTGCATAGTAAATAAAGCTAATAATGATCAATGGGCAACTGGGCCATGTTCTTAACAAAAGTATTCTGATGGCTATAAATCATAACATCAAAACAAATAGACTGAAGGAATGCTCTGGAGAGGAGACTACAAGCTGTTTTCCTGAGGTTTCAGGAAAAAACTGTTGCCTAATAATATTTCTGAAGTTTAAATGAAGATCTTATGGAGTTGGCAGAATTTTTTCTTTTGGTGCTAAAAAAAAAGGCTCCTATTAATTACATTTATTTATTGAATATACATATAAGTAATTTATTTTATGAGCATAAATTTATTCATTTAAGGAGCATTTATTTCTGTGTACCAAGCATAGCTCTTTGTCAAATCCTTTATTTCTAAATGAGAATATTAAAATTTTCAGTAAGGACTTAATAAGTAAGGATTTGACTTCTTATGTATTAAAAGTCCTTACTTATTTAAACTTTGCCAGATCATTTTCTTTTCCCCCTTTCCATGTGTTTTTCTTCCTTGTGAACATGTTTTCCAACTAAAACTTAAATAGGTTATTGGTCAATGTATGGTTAGTGTCATACTACATATTATATATTTGAATCTATATTGTGTCTATTATTTTGAAAAACCATTTCAGGGAAAAATGCAATTAAACTCAATTACGCTTTTTTTAAACAAAAAATTTGACCTGTTTCTCTCAGGCATGAATTTTCAAAATACTATTCTCATAGACCGTGTGTGGTACATAGGATTAATTGGACAAAGAGAGTTTTGAAAATCTCTCCCAATTAGAGTCTCGGAGCACATGGGTAGCAATGTGTGGAAGGAGAGGAGAAGGGGAGCCATTTATTTATGGCTGTTGAGTGTTCGTTTCAAAATGGCCTTAGAGATCTTCTGGCCCGGTTGATTAACTCCATTGCTTAAAATGTAGTGCCCTCGGAACTAGGACCAGTTCCACAGTACTCAAGAAAAATTTCGTCTGTGGCAACACTTTTCTGTCACCTGCACCAATTTGTTAAAAGTTTTAAAAGTTTATGTTGCTTGTAGGGAGTTTGGAGAAGAGTTTGATTGGTGAAGGTCAACTTACCACTTGTATTGAAAAAGCAACTTATTTGGCAATGGTAAATCAGTGAATGGTAGCATGAGTCTTTTAAGAGTTAAATTTAACAAACATTTGTTGAGTACATATTATTTGGCTCAATGATAGTGTCAGGCATTAGAGATATGAATAATCATGTGGTTGCTGACCTCGAGGGGGGTCAGTCTAGCAGAGGAGTCTAAGAGGTAAATGGCTTACCTACTAACTTGTTCATTGCAACAAGATCATGGAAGAGGGCCAAGGGAGATGTTCTGACAGAGTTAACATCTGGGCTGGGTTTTACAGATGGAAAAAAGCTTTTAATGATTTTGCCTGAATTAATATTTGAGAACGCATATGCATATAGCAAAACGTGAGAATTTGAAAAGTCAATGTTAACTCTGCCATTTTACTGTCACCTAAAGATTTTTTATGCCTTTCTAAAGGTGAATATTCCTTCAATAGCTTCTGAAACTTGGCCTTTTATTACATAGATCTTAAGGATCATGTGATTCTTGAACAATCAAGAGGAAGAATGAATTTAAGTGTTTAGAATGCTTAGATATCATAAACTTGATGCAGTGGGAGAAGAGACTCTGAATGAAGAAGTGTTGCAAGTGACAGAAGGTGATCCCTCCCAAACATGGTTTTAACACTTTAAAAAAGAATTGCTTTATATCTAATACACTATTCCTACTGGCTAAAATGTTTCTTAGTTTTGACTTGTGTTTTTTGTTTTGAACTAAGACACTCATACTAATGATTCTGATCATAAAATACTCAAATAAATAAACAACTTTCCCTAATTTGACTTTCTTAAGATTAGAACTGTAAGTTATTATTTACATGGCTACTAATTTTCTAGCCTGTTTATTGTGTGTAAAAAGTTCCTATTGTTTGCTTCTAATTAAGAACACATGGCTTTACAGACATTGTTCATTGTTATTGATGAAATTATTGCATTTAAAAATAATTGTATGAGTTGGTAAACAGTTTCTTATAAAATCACATTTCTATAGACTATTAGTAAGTAGCAGGTCATTTCCTTTAAAGAGTTGGGGGGAAAAAATCCAAAGACATTCAATGATAAGATATGGTCACTAACAGCTGTTTCCGATAATAGGAGCAATTTGCATTCAGAAGAGAGAAAATAAATTATACAAAAGAGTATGTAGAGGAACAGCTATAACTTCTCTGGCATGTGCAGCAGCCCACAAAATAAACTTCCTTCCAATGACGTTGGCATGATTAATCCCAAGCAACCTGGACACTGAAACTGCTGTTCTGAAAAGGAGCTCTGCCTCCTGGAAATGTCATGAGTGTGACACTAGCCTTCTTGCTGAGGTGGGCTAGGGGCTGCTCAATGCATTTAGTGATGCTCTCTCACTTCTCCCCAGGGTTCACAGTATTTGAATATTCATGATGAGTTGACAGGTGGTCAGTAAAGGCAAGACTGAAGCCACTCTTGAACCTTTCACTTTTTCATTTCTCTATTAAAGAAACCTATAAGGTCAAGTGAGATGGCTCATTTTTGATTTACTTCTGATGTCAGTTTAGGGCAATTTTCCTAAGGTGGGCTTCACCCCTTGGGAAAAAGTTTACCTTTTTTTTGCTTAATATTTTTGCTCAATATCGAACCAATGTTCATGTACATTATCAACATCACTTCTGTAATAAAAATGCCTTGTGTTCCCGTTTCCCTGCATATAGTCTCCTTACTTGATGATGGCCATGCCTTCAGTTGTGTAGATGGTATTTCCTCTCCTTTAAAGGGAGAGAAAACATAGACGGTCTAGAAAATATTCAGTCCTGGGCTGTGGACCTGAGTCTTCTGACCCAAATCGATGGTGCTCTGCTTGTTGCATGCGTTTTGTTTTCACCCAGAAAAGCTACATGATTATTGGGTGTTTTAGGGTTAGATTTCCTGGCTGGCTTGAGTCACTTACTGAGAACTTATGTGTGCCAGGCCCCGTGCTGCATCTTTTACACACATCACTCTGCTTATCCATTCAAGATGCTTTATCAATGTACCATACACTGGATGGCTTATAAACAATACTGAAAGTCCCAGATCAGAGTGCCAGCATGGTGGGATTCTGGTGGGAGATCTCCTCAGTTGCAGACTGCTGTCTTCTCACTATGTCCTCACCTAGAGGAAGGGGCAAGGCAGCTCTCTAGGGTGCTAATCTCGTTCATGAGGGTTTCCCCTTCATGACCTAATCACCTTCCAAAGTTCCTACCTCCTGATAGTATTTCAATTTATGAGGTTTAGGGTAATACAAACATTCAGTCCATAACAGTCACCCCATTTAGTCTTCATCCTGTCTTGAAGAGGAGCCCCGGGATCTGAGGTGAAATAATTTTGTAGAGGTAGCCCGTCTAGTCTGAGGAGGATCATGGATTGGCACCCAAGTATGCTGGCTGCTGTCTCCTGAGCCCTTGACACTCTTTATCTTCTTGAGGTGAATGTGCTTTCTGTCCTTGAGAAGTGAAAGGAAATTAGCAGACAAGATCCTTCAATATATGGTCCTAAGGAACTCTATTCAATGTCAGGGCACTGATTCAGACATTTAACTTTTCAGGATGATATAAGGAAAAGAGATGGTAATACTCTGTGGTCTAGAAAGGTCTTGTGAAGGAATGAGAATTAGAATTTGTGGAGGATACTAAGAGTAGCTTCAAGGTGTGGTGGAAGGACCAGAAGGAGGACCATGCGCAGGAGGGAAATGCTGGTCACATTGCGGGAAATGCATTGGAATGATCATAGGGGGTTTTGGTAGGTGACAAAGGGACAGGTTAGCAGGGGCTGCTGAAGAGAACTCAGGGCATCAGTGTGTGTGGCCTTGATATTTGGCATATATGTGTTTACTTTGTGATATCACCAAAATGAAGTCTTAACTAGCATGGTTTCAGTTGGCTTGTGATTGATTTTCATTTAGTTGAAACTTTAGTGGAATAAAATCCTGTTTAGCTTCTTAGGGTCTCTCATTCCCCAAGAACTCACCTAATAGCCTTGCTTCCTTTTAACTCCACGAGAAATAAAAACCTTATTGTTTCTTGTCTATTCTTACAATTTGATTCGTTCTTAAGTGTTTGTATGTATATTGATATTTCAGTAAGCGTTCTTTTTGAGTATGTGAAGGAGGTAGGTTATGCATCATTGAGAAACTCTGGGTTTCGGATTTTTCTAAGGAAAGAGGATGGCATAGAAGTCAGAACATCTCAGACAAGTTAGGAGTTAAGGTGGGGAGTGATTTGCATCAAAGACTAGATGTAGATAATACTCTTGTTAGGAAGTTTACAGTTCTTTTCAAACATTGGATCATAGGGAGCAATCCTCAGTTTCCCTAAAGCTTTGGGGCTAGGTACTAACAAATGAAGTTCACTAATTAATAATCATGCCTGACTGTGATGAGCTGTTCTTCACCAAGATTTGAATAAATGACTTAAACATCTGCTTTACATAGGAGAAATTTTTATAGTTTCTGGAGAAGAAATAAAGGATAGATAAATAAATAAAGGATAAAAGGATAAATAAAGGATAGAAACTCAACTGGGGGATTAGCAAGGGGCTACGAAAATTGGATGTGATCTGGATGGTAGAATGGGATTCTTTGCTGTTTTTTAAAGAAGAATGCCTTTTTGCCTATTATTCTCATCTTACCTATTTTCTTTTTTAATGTTGCAGTGTGCAAAGATCCACCTTACAAAGTAGAAGAATCTGGGTATGCTGGTTTCATTTTGCCAATTGAGGTTTATTTTAAAAACAAGGTATGTAATCTTTACCCATTAATCTTTCAGTAGAAGATCCACCATTAACCAAATGATGTTTAAAATAATTTTGACTCATAAGCACTTGTATCACTAGATGAGTTTAAAATAAAAGTTAAATTTGTCTTCTAGGAATTTTGGCTGTCATTACCCTTAATTATCAAGGAAGTGGCTTTGAAGAAGATAATTTTAATTATATGAAGTCAGATTATATGAAATTCATTAAGTGTTCCTTTAAAGAGATGAAAAACTATAATTCTTCTTTTTCTATTTTACTGAAAAACTGTAATTCTTCTTTCTATTTTCCAAACATATTTATCTTTTCCAAAATGGTAATCACTGATCTCTTTAAGCCAAACCATATCAAATGGTTTATGAAAAAGCATGGTTCAGAGTTTTCACAGGAATGAGGGAAAGCAGCAAAAAGAATTCCAGGTAATGATGGAAGAGTCCTAATTCTTCATGTTAAAGATATCCTGTCCTTGGTCACATCCCCATCCTTGTGTTCTTCCTGGTTCTCTCATGAGCTTATCTTCAGTTCTGCTCATTTATCTGAGCTGTCAGAGTCAAGAGGGGTGGTAGAGTGTCAGTACTTAAGTTTATGTATGTTTGTTCTGTCTTATTTTGTATTTTTGCTCAACAAAATAAGCCTAGTTGTGAGAATCGTGTGTTTCAGAAACTGTAAACCAACAGGCACACTGAAACATAGTCGATTTCGGTTTGAGAGGATCCCATGCTTCTTTCTTTCAATCTGTTCTCAGAAAAGAGAGAGTAAATGTCAAGGATTGAAGCTTCTGCAGAGTGAGAGAGGGTAACTCGATATTGCCAAAAACAGATTTCCACCTCTAGGAAATGTATTATTTATATAGAGAGAGCAGGCACATGCTTTCTCATTTGAACTTTGAAGAAGAATGTTTTCTGAGGAGGATAGACTGACATAATGTCGATGTCTGCCTTCTCAGAGAAGATATTTAGTTGGCCAGAACACAAGTTTATGAGTACTTTTTCCTTAAAAAAATATTTTAAAAAGTGATACTCAGGATTCAGGGAGTCATTTTCCATGGTGCTTACCCTTGGTTTTATTGAAAAGTGATGTTTTTGTTCTGTTTTAGACTGTTGTAGATCCTAGAGTGATGTTGTTACCACATCATTCTTTCTATACTGGTAATTAAGTATTTTTCAATATGTTTTTCCCTTTAAGAAAGCATGTAGGATTATATATTTTCCTAGGAAAAGTATACAGAATAGAACTTAGGAGTTTTAGTCCCTTGATTTCATTTAATGATTGTTAACTATTGGGTACAGCATTCCCAGATTTCCCTCCGTGTATTTGCATAGATAAAATGTGTGTCAGCATAGAGATTGTCAGGAGCATGATTTAATATTTTTCTGTGACATGCCTTTAATTCAGCTAGAAATATGCCTTTCAAAGTCAGTATTTTTAAACACCTGAATGGTATTATGTGGTAATGATGAAGATCATTCTTATTTTCTTGCTATTATAAACAATGCTACTATGAACATTTTATAGTATGTTTTTGTACCTATATTTGAATATTTCTATGGCAGAGATTCTTAGAAGTAGAATTACTAGGTCAAGCATCGTATGTATTTAGTATTTTGATAGATATTGCCAAGATATCTACCAATAAGGCTTTACCAGTTCATGCTCCCAGTTACATGGCAGAAAACTGCTCTCCTTTTAAAATTAATTCCAAAGTTACATCTTCTGTTTTATAACTTGGAAGACAGATAAATAAAATGGTCATAATTCAATGTGATAATTGCGTTAGTAGAGGGATGCCATGAGGGATGTCTAATTTAGATTATATTGGGAGGGTCAGAAAGACTTTGCAGTGGAATTAATGCTTTAGCTGAGTTTTGAATAATGAGTTTGCATTAACAAGGCAATAAAGAGGGAGCTATGCTGGAAAGGAGGACATTTTAGATGTGGGGAGCACTACTTCTGAAAAGCCAAATCAGTGAGTTAACATGAAATATTGGGGATGCTTCAAAATTGTGGGAGAACAGAGTATAGTAAGAAATCAAAAGAAATACAGGAAAGGAGACTGCAATGGTTATTCCAAGGAAGTGGGATTTTATTGCAGAAAATGATGAACCATTAAAGGCTTTAGTATCAGTGGAAAGCTGTAATCTGATTTTTGTGTTAGATAATTTTCTGGTCATTGTGGGAAGCAAAATGAGGTAAGATCAAAGTCAGGGAGGAGATCAAATGAGGAATGGTGACAGTCTAAGCTAGGACAATGTTTATGCCTTAGAGAAAAGGTGGTAGATTTGAGAGTTCATAAGCAGGAATACTAAATAGAACTTGGAGAAAATTCGACAGTAATGAGTGAGGAAGAAGGAACACTTGGGAGTGGTTTTTGTGTATTTTAACCTTGGCAAGCAGTTAGAATTGCTCTTTCCAAGATAATAGAGGATAGGAGAAAAGACATATGAAGGTAACTTTAGTTTAGCATAATGCATGAATTAGATGCTGTTATAAGTCAACCTGTGGAACATGTGTATGTGGCAGTCAATGAGAGCTGGGCTGGAGATACACTTAGGGGAGTCACTGTCGCATAGGTGGACCAGACTCCTTGTGAATGGGTGTCATCTCCTTGGGAAACTTTGCAGAAAGGTAAAGGACATTTAAGGGTCAATGAAGAAAGAGAAGAAAGTTAATGAAGAAGATTGAGAAGGAACAGCTTTTCCTATGAGGAAAACCAGGAAAGAATGGCAACCTGGTAAGAGAGAGAAAAAGTAAGTTTTACGTCAGATTGTAGTGGAAGTGAAGGGGTAGTGAGGAAATGAGTAGAGTTTGTGATTTCGGAAGTTTGGATAAGGAAGTGGAAACCGTGAATTTTGAGTAGTTAATTTCTGTATTCTGACAATTTCAGGTGCTAAGACCCTTGATTCAAAAGAAATGGATTCAAATCATTTTGTTTCATCATGTATTAGTAATATAACAACAAAACAGGGTTCACATCTCTCCCAAAGAGAGTGATGAAAATTAAATCAGATGAATATTAAAGTATATGTTAGTTGTCATCATTATCTTGAGTCTGTATTTTCACCTTGCATGGCTAAAGATCAATATGTAGAGAGAGATAAACGTTTAGTCAACTTAAGTAATGGCTTTTGAGAGTTGAACCTGGGTATCATGAAATTCTAATTATTGTGTTCTTTTGCATAGGATACTATTTTGTCCTAGTTAGTTATTCAGCAAAAAATGCCATTCTTATTAATCTCACAAATACTTATTGCATTTCTACTGTGTATAGGCATAAATTAGTTTTTGAGAGTACGGTGATGATTCAAACATTGTTCCTATTTCCAACAATCTTCTGATGCAGCAAGGTAAATGGTGATAAGAAGGCAATTACTCTAAGATGTGGCAAGGGTAAGAGAAAGATGCACACAGAATAGAGGAGAGGCAGTGGGGAGGGATTTGGGAGTTCATGGAAGTTTTCCTGAAAGTGAAATCTTGAGTTGGGAGGAGTGGGAAGTTATGAGGGTAAAGCCGTAGGTAGAAAAATGGAGGTAGGCAGTGAAGGTAGTAATGCAAAGCAAGAATGAAACCAGACTTAACCTAGAACATGGTAGGTACTGGGAAGCAACTAGCAGTGGGATGGTGCTAGACCATCAGATGGACAGAGGGGAGTGGTGGGATCTGAAGCCAAAAGATAGATTATGAAGGCCCTTATGTGACATTCAAGTGAGTTTAGGGGTTTTAGCCTAATGGCCATTGGAAGCTGTTAAAATTTTAACTAGGAAGTGAAAATAGGTGGATTTTTGTTTCATATAGGTCATCTTCTGGCCTGGTTGGAGGAGGAATTGTAGAGACTATGTCCCAAAGTTGAGAGTGTATAGTAGTTTGGGTCGTGAGTAAGAGCCTGGTAGTAGGAGTTAGAGGGCTTGTTGAAGAAATATTTATGGAGAAAACAGCAGCCTTTGATGGTGAGTGTAGTGGGGTAGGGAAGAGAAGAGAATGTGCTTGGTTTCTAGTTGGGTGGCTATGTTGCTGGTATCCCATCACCTGAAAGATCATGGGGAAGATGAGAATTTTTTCTTATTTCATTTCGCCTAACATAAGAATCTGCTTTATTGGATATTTCCATGTTGTTTCATGATGATTCCATACTTTTTTACCCTAGTACTACTTTGACAGTTTATCTTTTAGATGTCTTAGGTCTTTTCTATTTTCTATGAGGAATAAATTTTTGCTTTTAAAATTTCACTTATGCCTCACTCTTTTTTTTTTCTTTCATAATTTTTGTTAACCTCCAGGAAGAACCTAGGAAAGTCCGCTTTGATTATGACTTATTCCTGCATCTTGAAGGCCATCCACCAGTGAATCACCTCCGCTGTGAAAAGCTAACTTTCAACAACCCCACAGAGGACTTTAGGAGAAAGTTGCTGAAGGCAGGAGGGGTAAGTGGCACTCTCTTGTGAGAAGTGTTCCTGTTAAAAAACAAAAACAAAAACAAAAAATACGTAGTTCCTGATGTGTTAAAAAGTATAATAAGGTTTTGGGAGAGGAAAAAGAGATGAAGTACCTTAATCACTTAAGCTGTGGATTCATGGGTTGAGATGAAGAGGTAGGCAAACAAGAATATTTTAGATAGGTATATGTTTGAAATTACACTGTTCATTAAAACAGCCTTAAGATCTATGCAGCTCAGATTTACTTTTGACAAAACCCAAAAACAAACAAGCAATAAACTGTCCTCATTTAAGAAAAGAATAATGTCTGAACTGCATTATGTCAGTTATAGAAACTTTTGGGTTATGTTGCAAGTCACATTAAAATTATATAAAAAGAAATCCAAGTTTTCTTGATTACAATTAATAGAAAAGGTATCTTCACTCATATTACATGTTTGGGTCATTTAAATACATATTTTTGTTTGTTTGAATTTCATGTAGATAAAAGATGGATTTTCTTTTTTAAAGTAATGGTAGCAAAGGTGCGGTAAATTTTTGCTCTTGTGATTTGACTAGTATGGAAAAGAATTTTAAGTGGACCTCTTGCAAACATAAACATTCGGAATGTTTGATTCTGTAGCTGAGTCAGCTATACAAACACTATTGATTAGCCAAAATCTATTTGACAATAGATGTCACTAGGATCATCAGCGCTTACTTCACATGAACTTACGTATCATATTATGTGGGCACTTCACACCCTGTCTGTTTTGGAATGTGTTCTTTTCTCCAGGGTATTCTTCACTTAATTTCTCCGTAAGGTTTTTGTACAGTTTTCTTTCTATTTATGAAGTTATTTTCTGTATGCATTTATAGACCATAACCTGTCAAGATGCGTTATATCACTGATAAGCTCTACCTGAGGGCTTTTTAGGAAGGAGCTTACATTTTTAGGGGGCACAGTTCTTTTTATTGGGTACATGAACAACCACTTTGAGAACCTAAGAAAAGCTGTGGTTCCTCTTATGAGAAAGTTGCTCATATATAGAATTGTGTGAATATTCTGGGTGATGTGGACCCCGTTTTGGGAGTTCTGTTTTGCTAGACTGCTGTCCTTTTACCTGAACTATGAATATGCATTTGAAGCATTGCAAGTACCTTTACCATGTTTTATTCCTTGTTGTACGTATGTCAGTAGATTATGGGTTAGGAGGGTATTGGTGGGCCAGCTTTGGAAGTGGAATGCCACTTAGAGTATTCTATGGGGGGAAATACAGCTTCATGAAGAAGTGGGCTTTTGTAACACAACTTATTTTAAAGTTAGGAACTTACTATATGTTTATTAAGGAAGTTGTTTGAAAAAATAACTCTTATTTTACTCTTTTTGTAGTCATCAGGAACATAGTGTTGATGCTATTTGCCTATGGCTATGCCCTTAACAATCAACTGGTCCAGTTTAAATACTAGTCATCCTCATTGTTTTTTTTACTTATGAATTTTGCATTTTACACTTCTGATTATCTCTCTTGGGTTGTGTAGTGGGGTGGGTAATTGGAGTATACAATTTATGGAACTTAAGTATATCATGCTTCTGATAAGGGTCGTAGGAAAAAAGTAAATATGACACAAGAACTTTCTAAAACAACCACTTAGTCCCAGAGAAGTCGAGGATTGCCTGTGAGCTGGAAAGGAGGTTACAGTCAGTGATAATGTAGCAGAGTGCAGTGCTGCAGCCTGATAAGGTCTCTAGTTGATTTCTCATCTTGTGCACTACTCAGCCTTTATCTCAGAATGAGTATTCTTGACTCCTAACTTTCCTTCTTTGTGTTTAAGTGCTGTTTGAAGCCAGCAGATATTTTCCTGTTAGAATTAGATTGTGTCTTGACAACTCAAAAATAGTAAGTTGAAATGTGAACTATTCCAGGCATATGCTATTTGAAATATTATAAGTTATTTAAGGGACTAATTGCAGTGAATTTTGTAGTAAAAACATGCATTAAAAATCATAGTAATTCCCCAGATTCTCTCCATTTCATATGGGAAGATTAAGCTTCTATAGAAATGTAAAAAAAAAAAAATCAATAGACTTTTTGGCTTACCTAGATTTTTGAGTGCCTTGTATTACTTATACCAGGCTTTAACCATTTGTCTTGTCTTAGTATTAACATAGCCTGTCATGGTGTTACTAACTTAAGAGCCATTTTGATTTCATGAGAAAAAACTGATTGTTCACAATTGTGTCTTCAGATAAACTTTTTTTTTTTTGGCCTGGATTTTGTGATGGGAAAGGGGATACTTTCCTCCTTAATCCTAAAGATTATATATGTGGCATAGATGTATATATTCTGCCTTAAAAGGAAAATAAATGGAACCATTCTTCTAATCATTATATATAACTTAAGGCACGAGTGGAGTACACTTAGTGTTTGGCTATGGTTTCTTCTCTTTTACTTTTTTCTTTTAAACTAAAAGTACATAGAGCTATTGAAAGCTGGGTGTCACTTTTCAAGAGATCAGAAAGCTTGTTTATAGAGCTGGCAGCATCTTGGAAAAAAATGTTTTTCAGCTTTTAGAAGAAAATAATTCCAAAGAACTTTTTGCCATAGAATCTTGAAAAACTGCAAATTTATTTCTACTTTATAATCTATAAGCCTGTAACAACTTTTGTGGGGGAGGGGTCAGTAGCATGCTATTCTTTTCATTGGAGTTTGTTTTTAATTTTAATGTCATATTATTTCCTAAATAGTCTCATATTTTGGTGTTTGTCCCCCTTGAAGAAATGTACCCTGTGTTCTTCTGTTACTTAGTTCCCTAATACTAAGTGTGTTGTTTTTATAAAAGCAAAAATACTGTGGCTAGGGCACATTTAGATTAAAACATTATTTTCTGAGAGTATTGAATACAGAGCGATTTATTTCATAGTACCCTTGAAAGTAGCTTCCATTAAATTAGAGAGCTCATGGGAGCTTGCTGGGGATACTGGGGATTTGGTTTAAGACCTAGCCTGTCTTATTTTTTTTTTAATTGAGATAGACTCTCACGCTATTGTCCAGGCTGGAGTGCAGTGGCTTGATTTATGTACACCGCAGGCTTGTCCTTCTGGGCTGAAATGAACATCCCACCTCAGCTTCCCAAATAGCCGTGACTACAGGTGCATGCCACCACACTTTGTAATTAAAAAAAAAAAATGTAGAGACAGGGTCTTACTATGTTGTCCAGGCTGGTAGCTTTTTATTTTTATTTTTTTTGAGATAGGGTCTTATTCTATCACTCAGGCTGGAGTGCAGTATGGTACAGCCATGGCTTACTGCAGCCTCAACCTCCTGGGTTCAAGTGATCCTCACACCTCAGCCTCCTGAGTAGCTGGGACTACAGGCATGAACCATCACACTTGACTAATTTTTGTATTTTTTGTAGAGACAGGGTTTTGCCAGGCCTGGTCTTGACCTCCTGAGCTGAAGTGATCAGCTCCCCTCTGCTTATCAAAGTGCTGTGACTATAGGCGTGAGTCACCGTGTCCAGCCTCTTGTCAGACCTTAAGTAAGAAAAAGAGGGGAGGGGTTATGAAATGGGAAAGAACAACTTGAGAACTTATTTTAAAAATTGTTATTTATATTTATTATATATAAATTTTATTCTATTTATTATTATGTTAAGGTAGGATATTTCCTTTGAGATCTTTATTTTTTGGTAGGGGAAAGACAGCAGTGAGCAGTAAACGTTTGAGGGCTAGAACAAAGATAATCTTTCTTTTAATTTTAAGCAGAAGGACCAGGTGTATTCTGTGGAGAAGCACCTCTCTATTTGCTCAGATATTTCTATGCCTTTCCCATTTTTTTTTTTTTTTTTTTTTTTTTGAGACAGAGTTTCACTCTTGTTACCCAGGCTGGAGTGCAATGGCTTGATCTCAGCTCACTGCAACCTCCGCCTCCTGGGTTCAGGCAATTCTCCTGCCTCAGCTTCCTGAGTAGCTGGGATTACAGGCACGCACCACCACGCCCAGCTAATTTTTTGTATTTTTTTTTAGTAGAGACGGGGTTTCACCATGTTGACCAAGATGGTCTTGATCTCTTGACCTCGTGATCCACCCGCCTTTCCCATTTTTAAAAAATGAAATGATTGATCCTTTTGGATCAGTGATTCTCAAACTGTGCTCATTATGATATTAAGATTAAAAGACTTGTGATCATGACAGATACTTTTCTCTCCATTTATTACTTTTTTAGTAGCTTGAATTCAGTCATACTGAAAACATTGCAGAATAGTTTGACATCTATTACTATGAGATAGGTGAAAGAAAATGAGCTTTTCTTTGGGTGTTGGAAAAGTAAACATAAACTGTATATTCAATATTGTGTATCAGAGAACTAAAATTCATTATTCTACTAACTTGTCTTTCTGAATTTCTGGGTGGAAAGAAGTATGATACAGTTGGAAAAGTTTTAAAGTCAGGCTGGTTTGGATAAAAACTTTATCGTCTTCAAGCTGGGTTACCCTGGAAAAACCATTGTATCTTTTTGAATCTCAGTTTATTAGCTGTGAAACAGACATGGCAGTGTTTTCCTCATAGGGAATGTGTAACAGGCACATAGTAGGTACCCCGTATCTTAGTTCTTTTCCACTCGATTACTGGTTTAGAATATCAACAGACACTTAACCATCTTTATATCAGGCACTTAAAGGTACCGTGAAAAAGATCTGCTATTTAATGCAAGCTACTCAACATTTATTCACAGGAAAACATGTTTAGCAGTGACCAGTGCCTCGGAAGATCTGTGTTGTGTTTAAAGATTAGCCCATGGTTTCTTTCTTCAAGCTGTTGGCACTCTGTTTGTATTTTGTTTGGATAAAGTGCCTGTATTTTGCTTGTGTAAAGGGGTTGGAATATTCTTTTATAAGATGTAAGTTTTCATTAGAAAAATGGATTCTTATGGTTCTTAATTCTGAGTTTTTAGCAGATTAAAGGCTTCTGAAGGCTATGTGTTTCCTTAGGAGAGTTCACATAC